AGAGAGAGAGAGAGAGAGAGAGAGAGAGAGAGAGAGGAGACTAAGAGAGAGAGAGAGAGAGAGAGAGAGAGAGAGAGAAAGTGTGACAACAAGAGCTTACGCACTGATCATATACGATACAAATTCAACAATAGATGTATTTTATTTACCACACACAAAAATAACAAGAGAAATTCAACACTATTGCTATGAATGATGAAAGAAAACGAAAAAAAAAAAATGTGTACTACAGAGTGAATTGAGTATATTGTTTAGCGTCTTTCTCCAATAGTTTACAATTTTTGATGTCTTTCCTATTGCTATCAATACTACTATCATTATTTTTCCTTAATCATGGTAGCATTTCATAATTTATGGTGCAGTAGCGCGGCGAATAACTAGAAAAATTATTGTCAAGAGCAACAGAAAACGGAAAATCACGTGGAGACAATACAAGTTTATTGCGAAAGAAGCATGTACGCGTTAGTTAAACCATCTAATCAATAGAGAATAACAAAAATAAATTGGCTAATATCGTCTGAAACTATATATACCTTATTGATGTATAGTCTCTCCTTTCTTTGTAGCTAACCAATTAACCCTTTTTTTCTTATTGCTGTGAAAGGATTCAGTTCATAAACAACTGTATTAGACTAGTAGTACTTAAAAAATAATAAAAAAAAATTAGGCAGATTTGAGAGCTGGCCCATCTTGTAAACTCTATAGTCCTGTTAAACATTTCATAAAATTTGTTGGCTAGAAACATGCATAACCCTTCAGCTTCGTACACACCTTTGCAATATATGTAGGCAGTCGCGCGACTATGTATCTAATCTGGCTGCGACTACGTATCTCATCTATTGCAAGTTGCAATCCACAGGCACACATGTAGAGACATAGCGATATTATCTCCGGATTGTCCCACAACTGCTGCGAGTCCGTTTCTTGACACTTCTGCTGCGCGTTTGACTTCGGTCGCGCGACTGTTTTCAACATCCAACCAGAAACAGAAACAACCGAAATCGTGGCTCTGGACATTGGTTAAACAGTCGCACAATAATCTTGCGACGTTACGTAGAGAAAGTATAATTGTTGGGTATGTATATCAGAGACAGTTTTGATCTACCATGTTTTTTTTTCTCACAGACATTTGACAAGCGATGTGTTCGCGGTTAAAGAATTCCGAGTTATATTGGCTAACTGAAAGTAAAAGATTTTATTCTGAAAGTGTTATTGACTTACGTCTACTGCATCAACGGCGAAACTCATCAATTACTACTTGGATATAATTGGGACAGGTTGACGTAGAGATGTCCTAACTAGCACTGAACATTAAATATGAGTAATTTCAAATTTGCCTCTTTTTTCCCATTGACTAAGTTCCGGATGCATTGACCTTTACGAAAATCAGTGGTTTGTAATAATTTTTGAATATATATCTAATTTTCCAGAATGATTAGATATTTCTTTCAACTTCATGTTTAATATTTATTCCAAATTACCTCTTTGCAGTAGTGCTGTTTTTAATTTCATAAAATGTCATATGGGAACTAAATACATATTTCTTTATGAATTCGTCCGTCAATTAGTGTACCGTGATTCCACACACCGAGATCTTGATGGTCTTTAATTTCTAATACTTTAAAAAATATCAGGAATCACTTTATTCAGCTTATTGGCTTTGTGTTTGCTTGCCTTACTATTTATATTTTTGTGGTTTTAGTGCAACACAAGTTTATCTTTCGATTCATGAGTAATACTGAAAACTGCATTGCGGAAAGATTTTAATAAGTTAAGTATTCATTAATCATTTAAGGTTTTATTTCAGATATAGTGAGCATAAAAAATATTGAATACTAATAACTATGACTGAAACTGTCATTAAAATATTTTCATAGTCATATCTTTTTTATTTTTTTGCATTTTGACCAAGCAAGACTTGATCTCATCCCATTATACAACCCTAGAGGTTCTTAGTTGAACAAAAATCTTATATGAGTTTTGTATTTTATTTAAATCCAAATAACGTTCTAACTACTGTTTATAATGAAGATCAAATATAAGTACATGACAGGGTGTGAATGCCTACTTCACAGAACATTAGTTCAGTGTACTGTACTGTAAGGGAAAACATCTTAGCACCAATTGTAACATTTCTCTTTATAATGGGTGTTTTAAATGAGGCCATGCAAGGGGAAATCTCCGTCTATCTTTGGTTAGAAAAATACTAAAATACTTGAACCTTTCAACCATCAGTGACCTTACTGAATAATAAATAATTCATAGAAATTTTGATTTTAGTCTCCATTTTCACGTAATTTCTACCTTAATAAAGAAGGCTAGAAGGCTTATTAAATAAAAAGCACAAGTCCGTTTACAAAAACATTGTTTCATTTTGTACAACAACTGCTATACAAAAACTAATGCATGATGTTTGTCAATGTTTCATCACAAAAAGCATTGAGCAAAACTTGAACAGTTTTTTTTCGACTGATGCATCAATAGTTTTTTTCCGGTCCACAGTCAAACTAACAACACAAGAATAACATTAATAGTAAATAATAAATATATAAACAGAAATGGTTATTTCATGTTATGCAGGGTAATATTGACTGCTGGTGTAACCATGAGTGTACCTGAGGCGTGTGAACCAAAGTCGGCTCCCGCAGTCGCTGGGGGAAGGGGGAGAGGAGGGGGGAGGGCGTGCGGCTGCCGCGGGAAAACTCCATCACTTACAAGTCCCATGGAGTTTCAACAAACTTCTCACAGAGAAGAACTGACTTTTCTTTAAAAGCCGTCACAACATAACACACACATGCTGATGATACAAGCTCTGCGTAGTATGCTTATGATGCATAAGTAGTAAGTACCATACAAAAAAATGTTCAAATAAAAAAATGATGATAAAAAAAGATAAAAATGAACGAGCAGCTCGAATATTAAACATATCTAAGGATAGATGACTCCTGGTTCCAAAGCCATGTTGTGGTTTGAGTGTTGGAAATGTCTGAATGTGTGTGCGTGTGTGTAATGTGTGTGGGTCGGAGTGGGGCGGGAGGAAAGAGGGAGAAGGGTAGACATATCTATGTGAGGGTGATAATTGTTTGAGGTGAAAGTTGTCACAACCACAGCCCAGCGGCGGCGAGGGGGGCAAGAGGGCAGGGGGAGGGGGCCGTGGCGGTGACGCATCACAGCCGATGACCAGATGACCTGTGTAGTGCCTAGGTAGTCCTCCCACCACACGCAGAGGGTTGGAGGGGGAAGGAGGAGGGATGCGGGGTTGGGGGGGATGGGCAGCCGCAGAGCACGACGACGACAGCGACAGCGACGACGGCAGCGGATGGCGGACGGCGGCGGCGGCGGCGGCGACAGCGACGTCTGCAGCGGCCCAAGGCTCTCCTCAGGGGCTCTTCCGTGTACTGGCAAGCCAAGGCGCACCGAGACACTGACACACTGCCACACTGACCCGGCATGGCCATGCATGTTTTGCTTTTTGTTTGTTTCTTTCTTTTATCTTTTTCGTGTTTAAATCCCCATGTTACTCAAGCTGGTTGTGGTGGCTGGGTGGAGAGTGAGTGGGGATGTAGGGGAGGGGGGGAGGGAGGGAGGGAGGGAGGGGCGGACGAAGGAGGAAAGGGGAATGGGGGTAGAATAAGAAAAAAATATAAAACATATAAAAAATAACAATAATAATAATAACAGAACTGATAAGCAGTGAGGAAGAGAGAGAAAAAGATATAGGAATGAAAGCATAATAATGAAAATAAATGGCAAGTAAATGAAATGGTTAAGGATGGATTAGACCAAGGATCACGGAAGGGGAGGGAGGGGGAGGGGAGGGGAGCCTTAATCTGGGGGTGTTAACACTGTGACCTGACTAGTCATGGAATGCTAAGCTTTAAATAAAGAGAAAAACTCACAACAGCCTGCCAATTGACCCGTAAATGTGCTGAGCGAAAGAGGAAGAAAAAAGGGAAAGAGATAGATAAATCGATGGGAGGGAGAGGGAGAGGGAGAGAGGAGGAGAGAGGAGAGAGGGTTAGTGAGGGAGTTAGTGAGGGTGAGGGAGTTAGTGAGAGTGAGTGAGAAGGTAGGTAGGTAGGTAGGTCAAGGAGGGGAAAAGGTAGATATTGGAGAGGACGGGGAGGGGGGGGGGGAGGGAGAGGGAGAGGGGGAGGAGGGAGAGAGGAGAGGAGAGAGGGAGAGAGAGAGAGAGAGAGAGAGAGAGAGAGAGAGAGAGAGAGAGAGAGAGAGAGAGAGAGAGAGAGAGAGAGAGAGAGAGAGAGAGAGAGAGAGAGAGAGAGAGAGAGAGAGAGAGAGAGAGCAACAGCAGTAGTAGAGACAAAAGTGAGAGACTGTGCAGACATGAAAGTTACAAAGGACTTCCCTGTGTGCGAGCTGGCGATAGTGACCAAACCCGACTAAGCAGACAGCAGAAATACACTACACCTATGTAAGTGTTGTGAGCCGTGCCCAAACCACCAGCACCCACCACCAGCACAGCCCCATTTGCACCTGACCCCTAACGAGCTGGGCTAAACCACTCACTCTCTCGCGTTCGCCTCTCACCAACTGGCTCGCTTTTGAACAGATGTTAATTGGCATACTCATTTAAGGTAGATCTTGCAATGGTAAGTAAGAGTTCATGTATACTTCTAATAACCTATAAGCCCTTACAATAATAATAACAATGATAATAACAAGGAGGATGGTAAGAAATAATCATACTGATCATCATAAAAATGTGTATATAAACAATCACTGATAATCAATAAAATAATTTATGGACAGTGCAAAACAACTGCCTGTCAGCAAAATGTTTGTGCCTTGTGGCCAAGATCCCTCTGTGTATTTTCATACTTTTTTATCTATTTTTTTTTCTTTTTTTAACACAACACCAGCTCATGTTGGGTCAGGGAGGCTAGGTCATGTCAGGTCAGTTGCCTACAACTGTTTTGCCAGTACTACTGCCTCTGAGAGCTCCACCTACTGGGATCCAAGTCCTTTATGGGTACCTGCAAAGCATCCAAACACCACTCAGAAACCCACAGGAAAACAGCTTTATATTAGTACTCCACATTCAAGGAGACAGGAGACAACTAGTATACATAAAAATCTAATGAAATGTTATGTGCAAATGTATATATATATATCTTTTCTCTTTTCTACAGGTGTAAAGTTGTTTGATTTTTTTCTCATTTTATTATTATTATTCTGAAGGCATGACATAACCAATAAAAAAGAGAGTTCAAAGACTACAAGTTTAAGTAACAAGGAAGCACACAACATGCAAGGAAACACCAGTGTAACAACATATGAATAAGAGGACTAAATTTACCTTGGAAGATGTCTACAGAAAAAAAGAATGCATTTATAAAAATATAAACACTTACATACAAATAACAAGCAAAGACGTTATACATATATATGTGTATGTTTGTGTACATATATACATATTACTAAAAATAATCTCAACACTGTGAAGTGTTTATAAATTGACACCTGAGTTAATATCTGTGTGAAAAAAATGGAATGCAGCTAATATATGAAATATATATTATACTCTAAAATAAGCAAATAGGTCATTAATGCAAAATAAATATCTTATATGCACTATGCACTTCTTGCCAACACAATCCTATAACAACATTAATAAATCAACATACTTTATTGCATCTACATATCATTTTTTGTGATACTCTATAGAGATCTCTCCCTAAAATATTGAAAATCAATTGAGAATATCATTTGCTACTAACAGGGGAAGAGGGGAAAGGGGCGAGAACCAATAAATTATCACTCAGGGGAGAGGGGGTGGGGTGGGTGGGGGAGGCTCTGCAGGGAGGGGAGGATTGGATGAAGCTGTGGAGTGAGGCAGAGGGGGATGCCCAGTCATGAAAGCGGGTGGTGGCGCTTGCATGTACGGCATTGGGGGGCCGTGGGGGCCAGAGGGGGAGGGGGTGGTGGTATGGCGGGGGAGGGTAGCTGAAATTGGGTGGGGTATGGAATATTGTGGGTAGAACTGCTGGTAAGAGTAAGGGCCAGGCTGAATCATGGGCACCACACCAGCTGAGGGAGGGGGTGGGGCACCTGTGAGAGGGGCTCTGGGGTACTGGGCCTGGGACCCCTGGAGATGCACGGGCATTTGTTTTGCATGTGGTGGCAGTGGCGGATGTGGTGGCTGCTGCTGCGCCTGCTGCTGCTGTTGGGAATACTGGCGGTGATGAGCATTACCTCTGACATCCTGCTGCCTATAGTGACCAGCACCCACCTGAGGGGATGCGTGGGTGGACCGAGCCTCACTGCCGTTGCGCGGGACCTTGGCCGCCTGAATGTCTCCGGGACTTCGGTCCCGGTCCCTTTTCTTCGATTCCTTGTCAGGTCGAAGGCGGTCCCGACTGATCTTGATCTTTAGAGAGGTAGTAGGAGTGTCTCGGGCCAGGTCACCAGCAGGACTGCTCTCGGGGGAAGTGGATGACGTGCCTCCAAACAAGTCCTTTTGCTTGAGGCGAGACTTTTGGATCTTGAACTTTGGGATGCTGGGAGTTGTGTTAGCACTGGTGGTGTTTATGGGTGGAGCCACCGGCGTTGCTGTGGTGGAGTGGGTCCTCAGGGGCACCGAGCCTGGCTCTGGTGTGTATAGGACCTTGTCCTTCGCTATGGTGATCTTGATGGGAGCGCTGCCGGCATCTTCTCCACCTCGGCTCCGGTCCCGCTCTTTGTCCTTGTCCTTATGCTTTTTGTGCTTTTTCTCCTTCTTGTGTTCTTTGTGTTCCTTGTGTTCTCTATCCTTGTGCTTATCCTTGTCCTTATGCTTATGCTTCTTCTTCTCCTTGTGCTTGTGATGAGGATGGTCATGCTTGTGTTTCTTATGTTCTGTGCCTGCCACACCCCCTACCATGAGGACAGTGGCGGGGTCAGGCTGAGACTCCTTCAGGTGATCAGGTCGCGGAAGCTTCATGCGCAGCACGTGCTCACTTGGGTTCTTCTGTACAGGTTCAGGAACTGCTGGTGCAGGAGCACTGTGCGTCGCAGCAGTGGGTTTTGAGGTCGCATTAGCCATGGCCAAGTTCTGCGCTTCGGCACGCACTTTGATGGGAGTCGCCGGGTCACTGAGAGCTGTGCGATACTTGGTATCTTCCAGCTTCGTGACCATCGGCACCAGCTCTGCCTCACCCCGCTCACTGTTCCGTCTCTCGCTCTCTCTCGACCTCTTGCTGCCAGAGGAGCTCTTAGAGGGGTGCTGGGGAGTCGTCTGAGTCGGTTGTGGAGGAGGTACTGACCCGTTGGTGGCACTATGGTATCGAGGATTGTGGTAGTTGGGTGCTGTTGCGGCACTGTCACTGACCCGCTGTTCGCCATTGCTACTGGCATTACTCACAACCCCAGCTGTGTTGATGCTGCTGGTATGATGTTGCTGATGCTGAGCCTGCTGCTGCTGCTGCTGACTCGCACCAGGGGACTTGCTCTTCTGGTGAGCTGGCTGTGGTAACAAGCTCTTGTCTTCCAGTATGGCTGAAACATCAGGCTTTGTCTCACTATCGGAATTGTCAAACAGCTCATCTGGGGGCCCATCATTTAAGTTCAGGAAATTATTATCACTCAAAAAGTCGTTAAGAGTAAAATCAGACATGTCACTATTATGGAAAATTGTGTTGTACTCCTTTGCTTCGGATTTAGTGTCTGATGCTTTCTCTTCTTTAATTTCTGTCTTTATTTCGGATTTTATATCTGTCTTTACTTTCACTTGCTCTAACTTTGGCTCAGGAGGTTTACGTTCTGCCATTCTTTGTTCATGTTTTATTTCACTTTTTCTTTCTAACACTGCGGAATCTAAAGACTGTCTAGAGTGCTTAATATCTACTACATGATGCTGTCTAATGTCCGATACACTAGGTTTTGTCTCATGTCCAAGCAATCTGCCGTCCACGACACTGCTACTAGTCCTGTTGCTTTTGTCAAAGCGATCACTATCACGTGCACTAATTTCTCTCCGCTGGTCCTGACGAGCATCAGCTGTGCCCACCCGCAGCGCCTCCAAGGGGGGTTGGGCATCTCCCCGGGATCCCTGGTTGGTGGTGCCATGGCCATGTGTCTTGTGGTTGGTGCTATGCACAGCCGAAGCCTTGGCATGCTCAGGGTGGCTGCTACGCCCGCTGCTACCCTTGCTGCTCTTGCCCCGGGAGCTGGGCAGGACTGAGTGCAGCGAGTGCGATGAGGCGATAGTGGCAACAGTGGAGGGGGGTGCTGACTGCGAGGAGTGTGAAGTTGACACCAGGGTGAACTGCCGGCCCTCTCGTGGGTCCACCACGTCCCGGTCACGCATCTTCTCCCGCTCGCGCCGCTCTTTCTCACGCTTTTCATTATATTCCTTAAGGTTCAGCTTTGGGGGCTGAGGGTGCTGGTGAGGCTGAGACTGTGGCACTTTGACGCCTGCAACACAAATGGGAACAGTGGTATAGAAAAGACATCCTTCAATTTTTAAAATCTGATCTTCCCAAATTTAAAACATTGAGAATACAATGCTTCAACTTATGACTAATGCTTACAAGTACATTGTACAATCATACAATCACACACACAAGTATATATACGCATGTAGACACACATGCATATGTGTATGTGTGTGTGTGTGTGTGTGTGTGTGTGTGTGTGTGTGTGTGTGTGTGTGTGTGTGTGTGTGTGTGTGTGTGTGCGTGCGTGCATGTGTATATATAACAATAACAATAATAATAATAATAATAAATAATAAATAATATAAAACAAAATATATGTATCACACACACACACACACACACACACACACACACACACACACACACACACACACACACACACACATATAAATATATATTTATGTATGTGTATGCATGCATGCATGCATGTATGTATGTGTGAGTGTGAGCGTGTATATATGCATATACATACATACACACACACACACACATATATATATATACAAGCACACACACACACACACACACACACACATATATCTTTTTTTTTTTTTTTTTTTCTTAAATAAATGCTACACTATGCTTCAATTGTCTGAAAGACTATAAGAGATTTCAGAATCACAAGATACTGCATACAGAGGAACAAACTGAGCAAGATTTTACATGAGCACATTATGAACAACATGTATATCTATCTATTCCACCCCCCCCCCCTCCCCTTAATAATTTAGGCAAGAAATTAAAAATATCTGTATCTAGTTAATCATGATTACCTGTATCAAGTGCCTTTAATATGTTATCTTTGTGTATACGTCAGTTCATCCTAGTGCAGCTTTCTATCAGATATGGCAGAAATTTACACTAACTTCTGAATAACTATAAAATGGTATAATCATCATCCAACACTAAATATAACAAGCTAAAAATATCACATCTAACTATTTTAACATTTCTATATACAGCAATAAGATGGTTTTCACAAAGTGGTTCACTGACAAAAAATTTGGCCAGCCCTACTGTCTAACAGATATTTTCTTCCTACTGAAAACTGAACAGCATTAGAATCATTATAACAATAATCACAAAAAGCTGAAGAAAATGAAACTGTCATACCCCTGTCCTAAGAATAAATAGATGTTCTACACTATAAATTTTAACTTAGGATTCTATGATCATCACTAATCTCATCATAACACAGGACCTACAAATGTCCTTAAATCTGCTCTGTGGTTCAGCACTAAGTGAAGAAAGGGAAATTTTATCTTAATATCCCTGCTTAAAGCTAAGAAAGATAAGAGAGACTGACCTGATTTATTATGAGAGTTATGATCATGACTCCTGGATGACGGGACAGATGATGATGAACCTCCCGTTACAGCCCGTGAAGACGAGAGTGATGAGGATGATGAACCGCCCTGACTGCTCTTGCTCCGGTCGTCTGTGTGCTGGGAGGAGTTCATGATCTTCTTCAGCCGGTTGGGGCACTTGTCCAGAATGGCCAGGAACTCGGCTGTCAGGGTCTCCAGGAGCTCTAGCGTCACCGACTTGTCTACATACCAGAACCAATCCTTGCCTTCTGTCGCCCGCTGGATCTGGAAAGGGGAAAAGGGCATTGGAATGGAGTTGATGTCCACCACTGATAGTCTAGTATTACCTAAGACTCGTGAGTAACCTTTGTATGTAATGATACAAAGGTAAAAATAATTAAATAAAGCATCAAATGATGCTGGTGTACTCCAGTTTAAAAAAGAAATTTAAATATTAATCCTTTACATGAAAGGAAATCACAAGCAATGGCATTTTCTTTCCAATTCATACACATAATGGAACAGTCAATTACTTCCTATCAGTGCTTGTTCCACTTAAAAAACACAAGACCTTTTAATTACCTCATAATGGCTCCAAGTGCACACTATGTATATACATACACATGCCACCACTGTGGGTTTGTACTGTAGACACATCGTGGTCATGTGAAGACTGTGGGAGAGAGAGAAAGCCAGCAATCAGTGGCAGCAGAGGCAGTACACAATAAAAGATAAAAATTAGGCCCATGAGCTGTCTTGACTTTATATGAGCAATCTTTGTTATCCCCAAAAGTCCAGTAGCTGAGAGAAGAGGTCCTGCAACCAGAGGTGTGTCAAGGTAGCAACAACAACAGGCAAAAAATTTCATCCTCACGCCACATTATGCGTGACAAACCTAGAAGAAAAGAGGTGTATATAGAGTTGACCAGAATTTGACATTGAGGTAAATATTCACATGTAACCTGACCTCCAATGACCCTCCAGCCCTTTGGGACTTGTACCCACACTCTCGCACTGACATATGAGCATTCGTTTTAATGGGAACCATTAGAAGGCTTTCCACTCTGAGCACGATACCCATGCAAAATTTTCACCTGTTTTTATAATTGACCCTACACTTGTTATGCATTGTACACTTGAAAATGATAGCAACAAATATTATCAATAAAAGACTTAACAGGCAATGGTGTAAATTTAAATAAAGACCATTTTAGTTTAACCTTACTGTTGTCAAAGTAAAGGAATTTTGAATTCTATCCGATAAATATTTGTATATCCCCCAAAAACCACCATTTATGGCTACCTAATGATCAATTTCTGAATGAAATTATCTTAATGATATGGCAATGCCTCATTTGGCTCATGCATTTACAAAAAAGAAAGACAAGCACAGACTTTAATTTTCCTAATAACTCTTTTTCTCGACCATCCCACTCTTGTCCTAAACTACAGGGTCTTTGCATGGGTAAGGCAAGCAAGCACTTCAGCAATGATTCCCGCTAGGCTTTAAGCTCACACTGCAAGGGGAAACAAGCAGTGAGCAGGCCTTTGCACTGTTGAATACTCATCAGCCATAGGGCAGCTGCACATCCACTCTCTCTGAATTTAATTTTAAGATAAAAAACAAAAACAAAAAACAAAATGTAAATAAAAAGATAACAAAAGGAACACCCACATCTATTGTGCCCAATAGTTGAGAGTAGCCTTCTGTTGCTTGCACAACATGGGGCAGAGCAAGAGGGAGCGCAAGAGAGACAGAGAGAAAGACAGAGAGAGGAGCGGAGCACTAGCTAGCCCAGTGCCACCAGGAGCAAGGTACAGTGGGCCCTTCCTTTCCCTCTTTCCTTGTTCTCCTCCCACAAGGTCTGTCCAGGTGAACCAATACTTGACACTGTGCTTATCCCTCTCTACCTGTGTTGTTACCATCTCCATGTTGCAAGGTCATTATGTTTCCGTGTTGTATATGGATCATCAGAAAAGTGTGTTAAAGTACTGAAAGGGCATAGATATAAAATAAATATAAAATAAAAGAGGAGTTAAAAATCAATATAGACATCATATTGGCATGCACATTAAAAAGACATGAGTTAACAATACACTGATCAACATATCTCAATGTGGGTACAGAAATTTACAAATACACAATAAAATAAAACCAACTTTTTCACAAGGCAGAATATCAACCTTTCTGTTTAACTATACTCCATATTTGTTTCTTCTAAGACAAACATGCATAGGACCAATCTCCACTTTTTCAAATACACAATAATTTCCCTTAATATGAGCTACATTTTCAGCAGACATATTAAATTTCATAAAATACTGTCATGCGATGCTGACTTTACATCTGGCATCATGCAATTTTTCCAAAAGCAGACATATTAGCATGTCAAATACACTGGTGGTATGAGTAGGAAATGCTACATTACTTATTCTTGGCTATTCCTTGTGATACATTGTTGAGCACACAAAGATTGCAGGGATTAATAAAATAAAAACAAAACTCTCCCCAAATCTACTCTTATGCCTGTTTAACACTGAAATATGTCTGATACATTTTCTGCCAAGATAAGTTCTCCATATTCTGCCATGCAACTAATCAATACTCTACATGAACACTTACAGCGAGGAGGCAGAGTGTGTGTGACTGAGAGAGAATGGGAGTGGAAGTAAAGGGAGAAATGAACATCTACAAAGGACAGCTCAAAGTTTTCCACTGTGGATTCTAGTTCAATCTGTGCATCCATTCCCAATTTTGGTTTGAATGTCAGATTTTCCTCTATTGCACATTCACTAATTCTTATTCTTTGACATACATCCTTTGTGATACTGGCATACTTCACACAGTAATTCTTTAAAAATGCCTGGCTAATTGTTTAAACACTGACAGTCTAGGAGTAACTAGGGATAACACTATTGAATTTTCTCTCAAACCAACTTTCTTACAAAAAATAAAGCAACTAAAATAAACAACATATGGCACATTAACTTAGGGAATCATACTTGCAACCAAAGCCAGTCATAGATGGCTTGTTCTTTCAATACTTTATATATAGTACTACCATACCAAAGTTCCACATCTAAAGATGAAATAGTATGGACCATTCTTTTCTCAACAAAAACTTCTAAACCAGAAATTAAATACAGTGACATTTACATACTTTTTTTTTAAGTGACTTCCATTTCTATCTACTTAGCTTGAAGTGCATTTACTTTTTTGGTCACTGGTATTGTTACTGTTATAAACTAATTTAACATCACAACCTTTTTTATTGATCATTTAGGAAAGGAAAAAATCTCTGATAGGGGATGGGCAAATAATAAAAAGTGGATTAAATAAAATAAAAAAGGAATGAGAGGGAGACAGTTTGGAGAGGAACCCAAAGACCCTTGCACTGGGAGAGGTATAAAATCAACAATGATTATAATGGAGAGAAGGAGCAGATACAATGAAGCACAGCTGGTGATCTGCCACCTCGTTAATGGACAGTGTCTACAGGAGAGGCCCACTGAAACTTGCTACTGGCAGTAGTGACAAACAGTCAGCCAGTGATAATAACCTGCTGGTAGCCATGAAATACGAGGTTTGGGCCAAATCTTTGGTGGCTGTTGTTGGGGCGCACGCCAGGAGAGGAGCACCACAGCCCAGGTAGTGGGTGACCCGCAGCCGACCGCCCCACCAGGGCAGCCAACCACCGGGAAAAGAAAAGACAAAACGATTTAGAACAGTGTTGCATCATCAACTTAGGTCTGGCAAACATGCGTCGCCTTGCCAGCAACTCCTTGATGTCTTTTTTTTTTTCTCTAATTTATGTACTACTAGGTACTTACCAGCCTGGTATCTTGCTCCACGACCTGCAAAGTCACCTGACACTAATGAATGAAACTCTTACCTCTCTTATGCTTCCAGTAAATACTTGACAGGTTTTCTCATGGGTCTTGCAAAATCAAAGTGATTCTTTCGCAATAAATGTCTATAATATAAGGAACAGTCTGAAAATCTTTGCAAAATCATACAAGAATGTTATCAACATCTTATCTCTATTTTCTTATTTCAGGCATCCATAAGATAAGTTTATAGTGATAATCTTTCAAAAGTTTCTAATATTAGCATTAACAGCTAATACCACAATCTTTTATCCATATGTGCTGGTATTCCAACCTTGTTGTTAGTGATACTTTTTGGACTGTGGACTTTCCTTTTAAAGTACTGGTTTCTCCCAACAAATTATGGATCAAAAGTTCATGTATGATTATAATCTGTGTATAAAATATGTTAATATAAATCATAATTTCAGTATACAATGCAATATACCAATTGCATGAACTGGTCAATTATTATTCATATATATTATTATATATAATTCATAATTCTAGTATAAATTGCAAAATACCAATTGCATAAAGCATACAATAATGAACAGACAAAATAAGTCACCTTTTAAAATAAATGCAAAGGCAAAACCTTCAAGAACATTCATGTGAAGCAGATATAAGGATCTACCTCGTCATGAAAACTTCGTACTCTGTACTGATTGACCATTTTGTGCATCAACTCATTAAAGGCGTACTCTTAATGTAATATATACAATAAGAACAAACCCAAATTCACAAGAAAATATTCATGAACACTTTCATCTCTGATATCAAAATGACAACTCTATAATCACATCTAACAACAGTAATACACAATAAAGAAATACTGTGCATGTGAACAGACTCAAAACAGAAAATAGCACGTACACACTAGACCCCATATTAAGCACCAGTCATGAAAAACTATCTCTGAGAGATTCCACTGAGGTTAACAGGGTCTACGTGTGCCGCTGTGGTCCTACCTAATTTGTTTTTGAAGTACTCACCGCGGACGAGTTGGCAGCACTTGACCACGTGTGTGTGTGGATGGTCTATGGCAACATCAAAGCCCAGGGTCTGTAGCAAAATGTTCTCATTCACGACCAGCTCCTGTGCTCTTTCCAAATATGCCTGTATGAGTTGAAGAGGAAAAGAAATAGGAATGGTCAATAATTTAACAGAATGAAAGGATAGTAAGGCAGGGCAGGAGGCAAAGAAAAATATATGGGATAAGTCTGCAGAAATTTTTCCAACCTGCCTTTTACTGCCTGATAAACCCAAATATATTTGTCTTATATTCATGCAGTTCTTAATCATTCATGACAGCAGTTATGGTGAATGAAGCAATACCCTCCCCACCCTCAATCGGTGTCAGTCCCAATGATGAAGATGAGAGCTATGGTTTTCTGAACTTCTACAGGAACATCTAACTTATAGTTCATGAAAGCAAATGATTCTAATGTAATTCATATACATAGCTGGTAACTTGGACAAATACAAGCTCATTCTTAGCAGCAACTTCTCTCACTTACCGCCTTCCATCTCTAGATGCTACAAACCTGGAAAAAATTACAAACATATTTTTCTAAATCCACTCACCTCAGACTGTGTGTCCAGAGGCGGTTGGTCACGGAACAGGCAGTGATAAGCCACTTTGATGACATGTTCCAGCTTTCTGGGTTGCTCCTCGACTTTGGCAGCGAGGAAGAGGGCAGCCGGTGCGATGGAGTTGCGGTGAAAACGGGTGAACGGATGATACATGTAGAAGCGGTGCATGTAAACAATGGCTGTGTTGATAGCCAGTTGGTTACTGAATTACTGGTTAAGGAAAAATCACAGGGAAAGGGGGAAACACATCTAAAAATTACCATTATCTATTACTGTGGATGTAAACTGAAAAAGAGAAAGAAAGAAAAAGTACTGTATAGCAGGGGAATATGAATGTTCTTAGAATGGACAGGACCATTAACCCATTTAGGACGGGTGTCATACATATGCAACATACAGAAAAATAAACACTGCTGGGCATCCTGTTGGTGTGATGCTGGATCGGAGCTTGCACTCTGATTCCGGGCCACCCCCACACGTTGATTTTGAAGCTGCCTTGAAACCATTATTTTTGGCTTCGAAATATAACGTTGCTAGTATGTGCGCACACGCACACACACACACACACAGAGACACAGACAGACAGACAGACAGAGAGAGAGAGAGAGAGAGAGAGAGAGAGAGAGAGAGAGAGAGAGAGAGAGAGAGAGAGAGAGAGAGAGAGAGAGAGAGAGAGAGAGAGAGAGAGGGAGGGAGGGGGGCATGATATAAGAATTACATTTAACTTCTAAAATTAAGGGGTTAAGAATATCTTATTATAGAGGAGATGAAAGGTGACAAGCAAATAATTACAGTGTAAGCATTATCAATTATAAATTCCTAGATCACATGCTATACAAGTTAGTACCTGATATCCAATCTATGAATTTTCAATTTATTTACAAAACAATTAACAAGGAAGCACCAAATGTCAACTAAACTCCATATGATAAAATATTTCGAGATCTTTTTGTAGAGCATTATATAATTTGATGCAAGTAGTAATAGCAGTTGTAGGTGACCATGAAGTGATGGTATTATAGAATATTTATACTTGGGCTTTGTGTTTACTTATTTCCTCCTTTTCTCTCTTCCTTTCTGCCAAACTATGAAAATAGCAATGTAAATAAAGAGAAAAAGAAAAAGAACAAAAGAAAGAAAGGACAGGAAAAGGCCAAATGTAATTCTGTTAAACACAAAAGCTGGAAAAAATTGAATTTCACTAAAATCATAAGTTAACAGGCAATGTTACATTGAAATGAGTTGAGTCCAAGCTCAATGGTTGTGGATGGCAATATTTCCCAAGGAAAATACTGAGTGTAAGTGTAAATTTCTCAGCGATATCAGAGCAAATTTAGTTACACTGCAGTTGCACTACAAGTTCAATTTCATCTACATGCAGCAGTGAGGAGATATAGTGGGCAAATGTTTACCCAAATATTCAATATTTTCTTACTTTTGGTAATGCAAAGAAAGTTATAGAAAATCAATACAGTGTACTTAAACAGGGAACTAGCAAATCTGTCATTTAATTCCTAGGAACAGCTTGCGAATAAGTTAGAGATGTCAAAAAACTACAAATTAGCTGCATAGGTAAACAGAATGGTTTCCAAATCACAACATATGAATATCCTAATGCATATACTAAATACATACATTCACACTGCAGGGGATGGCATGTATACATGCCACACCCACTGTTTTTTTTTTTTTTTTTTTTTTTTAATTCAAACTTAAATGTTACTATAAGTGCTTAGTTACCAATGAGTCAATCCTTTGTCTGACATTTTTCACCTGTTTACTCTTTTCCTTGATTTCCAGAAGTATAAAATTTCAAATTGCTAGTAGTATATATAATGTCAATAATATTAATAATAGCCATGTTGATATTGATGGCATAAAAAAGGAAAGGGAACAAAAAGTAGAAGAAAAAATGTACATTTCCTAAATAATACTAAAGAGAACATCATTCTTTCCAACTTTCATGAAGTTCAATAAACCACTTCCAAATATTAGGTTTCAAATCAACTATGGCAGGCTGCATGAAAGTGCCACATACCTTCATTGTATTGTTCATCATGTACACAAAAGAATGAGAAATATGACAACTCTCTTCCTATATCCTTAAACAGTATGTATTAAAAGACAGACACACAAAAAAAACACACACACATGCTTGAGTTAGAGATGTTATGAAAGAGCGAATTTGAAATGAATTTCAAAAAACTTTTCAGACGTGGACATCAAAATGTCCCTGATTTGTGAGAAACATCAGGTCCTGTGTCTACAATTACCATAACACTCCCAATTATCTATCATACTTCCCAACCGACTTTACATTTATCTTTATAAAACAAGTAGTAAATTTATCCTGACCTTAAAAATCTATTTTAGAAAATGAAGTAAAAGGAGAGTCAATTTGCAAACTAATTTGTGCGTATAACATCCGTGCACAAGCTCCATAGCCTGACATTTCCATTGTAAAAATTAGAATAAAAAAATGAGAAACATTTATATGTAAAATGATAAATCATAAATTCAATTTGGATGATAAATAATCATGGAAAAATAAAGCCTATGATAAGATAAATTACAGACTTATAATGGCAACACTGTAGCTCTCCCTATGTTCACTGTCTGAATCCATGTAATGAGCAATGAGCCAGTCTCCCCTTATCATAAACAACTTTTCGAAACCCATTACTGGCAAGCAACATTCTACTGAAGGTGTAATGCCATCCAAGAAATTCATGGGCAATATATTCAAGATGACATGTAGAAACCATAGATGTGATAATCCTGAATGATATGTAAATTCCCTGTATTAAGTGGACTGCATAAAGGAGACACCAGTGGTAGTCTTGCCGAGAAGCGCACACATACAAAGAAAAACCTTAGAGAGTGAGAAAAGTCTTCCTTTTCATAATCAACTGTATGAAACTCATTACTGGCAAATTATACCAAAGGTATAATACAATCCTATATACAGAATTCTGCAGTCCTGTTGTAAGGTAGCATATGTATACAAACTACCTTACATAATGAACAACTTATAAATAACATGGGGAAGAAATCTACATAATTCTAGTTCTTCATAATATGACAATAAACTAAATTAAAACAACCTCTGAGGAGTGCCAAAAAAACAGTGGTCGAAAATGAGTTCTGATCAGTTTCATATTCGTATACAAGTGTAGAATTACCCCCGTGAATATAAACTCTGCAAACCAAAAATTTAGGCTGTGTGCGTGGCGATAACCCCGAGTCTCCTTGCTGCTGTGTAAGTAATTTTCACCCTTCCGCACTCTCGCTTTACAGGAGCGAATAAGATTCATTGTATTATGACATTACCTATTGAAATGGATCCCAGGAAGACAAAAGTGTCTTATAATAACAGTTTCTTCCTAAAGTGAAAAATCGTCACAATACTTTTCAACATTTTTTTTTCCATAAAATAAAATAGGTATAATTGGATTTTGATATGAGCAGTTATAAGTCTGTACCTCTAAAAATACACTTGCAACAAACAGATATTTACTCGGGCTGGGTGCTCACCCGTGTCAATAGCCGTCTTAGAGGGACCCAGCCAACAGAGTTACAAGCGTCGCCACTACAATACTTTTCTGATTGCAATATTTTTGCATTTGAGTTTCCATTTGAATTTTAATAATTAATTTAACATTATTGTATATTATAATTCCATTTTACAAAGAAAGTAAATGTAAAGACAGCTTATGATAAAAGATATTTGTGTAAACTCCAAAGATAGGCCTACAAATATCTAATACCTATTGTTACAACACAAGACGAAGTGTACATGACAAATGCATAAAAGCTATTTGTATTTCAAAATATCTTTGATATATTAACGTTTTCTGAATGGTTATTTCTCATGAACAAAAGACAATTCTTTGTTCCTCCATAACAAGTACTCTGCTCATGACTAAAGGTTTATTGACTGTTTTGAAGCGGAATTATGTGGTTAAACAATACGGAAGAAGAGTAGACTGGAATAAACAGAAAATGAATAAATTAAATAAGTCACTGCTGATCTAATGTGCAAATACATATATCTTTACGTTAATTTATATGTGTATACACAAGTAAACAGATGTACATTAAGAAAACCTTAATAAAAGAGGTATAATACAAGAAACAACTGATTTTATACAACGGCCATGTTGTCATGGGTCTGGATTTGCGACTTTTCTTGGGAGTCATGTATTTGTTCGTATATATAAATCAAGAAACTCATGATTATATCTTTATACCACAAAAAGCATTTGAAAGAGAAACGATAGTAGTTTCTATGGTAATGAAATGGAAATGATTCATAAATTAAAAAATACAAGAAATGAACTTAAAATATCCAACTTTTTATTTGCTTGTTTTAAATTTTTTTTATTTTTTCCAATTTCTGTATTGTTAACCAATTAAATTTTTGAATGTATCTTTTTGTTTTTCAAAATACGCTTCTGTTTTATATTTAACCCACTAGCAACATTAAATTTATAAGCCAAAAATAACATTTTCCAGCAGCTTCAAAAATGGCGCGTGGCAACCTGACCGCCACAGACGACAAAATCAGAGCGTGAGCTCTGATCTTGCGTCACACCGGCGGGACACCCAGCAATGTTTACTTTTCCAGGTATCTCATATGTGGAACACCCATCATAAATGGATTAACAAATTTTTGAATATCACAATAAAATTATTTGTTTTTTCTCAGGAAACTAGTTCTAATTTTCGAAAAGCCTCTGCAGTTTCTGTAGGAATTCTTTGATGTTCATTCACTTTCTTTTTTTATTGTCATAAATTCGGTATCATTTTTTTTATTCTATTGTATTTTTTTTTAAACATCTATTGATATGACTCCTTATTGCACTTTAGAGGTAGGAATTGCAATGTAAATATGTATAAGTAGGTTATTTCTTTGTTGCAAGATGACATACATTGACCCAAATAGGCTTGTTGTCAAAATGAAGTCCAAGCTACCCAGCTTGTTCATGCATGGGGGACACTTAACCACTAGAGGTTTAGTTCAACTGGCCTTGTCTTTGTCTTGGACCTGACTTGTGTTTGAGTGCCCAGCCTGGAATAGTATATGAACTGCGAAAAGCAACACTGTAATAGACCCCACATGCCTCTTGCTTCAATAACACTGTGCATAGTACTTCTCAACATGGAGCTATGGACTTCTTTCGTTTCACTTTAGTTTCGTGTTTCATGACATATATTCTTTAACCCACTAACGATGGGTGTCCCACATATAAGACACCTAAATAAATAAACACTACCAGTTACCAACGTATCCCCAATCTTGTTTGATGGGAGAGAAAGGAGAGGTACTAACATGGAATCTTACACCCTAGGATAATGATCATAAAGAACAAATAAAATAATAATCAATTATAAAAAGTAGTTTGAAGAAAGTGAAGGTAAATCCATAATCAATTATCAGCTACAACTTTATGTCCAATAGCAATGCTTGGTAATAGTAGTATAATTACCCAAGAATAAATAACAGAATCGGACATCCAGTGAATTACCACAGTGTGGTTCTACAGTCTAGCTTTTGTGGTGCACAAAGTTGAAAATGGTGAAAGTATATAATACTTGGGGTGAAGAAGCAGTTGCTAGTATGGGGATTTTTAATTCCTGATCCAGCTGATTTTAATGATCCCCAGGTATTTAATATTTTGAAAATGGCATATCTGGACAATGAAGCTACAGTAGAGGAAAAAGTGCCATGTGTGAGTGTTAGTCAACTGATGGTGAAATATATTAGTTGTGAATGTAGAAAATAGTTTCAATATGGGAGTCAGTATAATATAGTAATAAGGAAAAATATCAAAGAAGTGTCACAAATCTAAAAGATCTCTTAAATAAGATGGTTTTACAGATATTGACAAAGAAACAAAAGTCATTTTACATAAAGTGAAGAATTTGTTTATCTAATTCACAGTATCTATGACTAAGACTAGCAATTTAAAAAATTAAGCAGTAGTAGTTCAGAACGAGAGGAGAGGAGCAGTGTCCATGAAAGTTCAGTTAAATTTTTCTTGGATTCCATATAAACTCAAAATATTCTCTGCAAATGAAATTTGCTTCATGTCTGTCCCAAAATATAACACACATTGAGAGAGTCCAAAGCTATTTGAGATTAATTTCAGTTGCCTGAAGCAGATATTATAGGCCTATATATATGTGTACATAAAAATATCTATACAACTATATACATACATACAGTATAATATGATATTAGTCAAGATAATCAATAAAATAAAATTCCCATTGCCTAAGCATCAATGCCACAGCAGTGCCTGCTGCACAATTGTTGCAAATCATTGACAGTCTTGAATTTGAGGAGTCTCGAAACATCATTCAGAACAAAGTCTGAATAATCATATAGCTATCATCAAAATGGTTATATTTCCATCTGAAACATATTTAAGATTGACCCAATATAATACCCTGCTATAATAATATATCAAAAGTAGGGGCAGATTACTAGATTAACAAGTAAATAATGAGTAAAAGTTATATTTTGTACTGATGAAATATTTGTGTATTTCTAGTGATTTTTAAAAATACTAAATTCTTTTCTTGTAAATGAGATAAAATTATTGAGCATAGCTAATTTACTTGAAGCCCAATTATAAAGAAAGAGCAAAATAAAGAAAAAGAGACGAAAAAGTAAAAAGTAGTTAAAAGTATCCATCCCGTCATAAATAGCTATTGAAACAGCAAAACAAATTTGCTACAAGAATGCAGCACAGTATCATTTTTACCCCTTATTCATCAATTAATCACCATGACTAAGAATCTTATAACGGTGTTCCTTACATATTTTGTCAATCTTTATCAAAGTAAATAATATAATTATACCAACAAAAAATCATCTTTTATTCAAGCTTTGGTACTTTGATTGATCAGTCTCCTCTGATTCATGATTAACTAGATTTTTGAAAGATTTACAACATAAATAATAAAATGTTACATATTTTTTTCTCGTACTGAGTTATTTATATTTCCTACAGAGTTAGAAGCAAATTTTCCCAATGAGAAGTATAAAGATTATGCACTGAACGTGATTCAAATCAAAGTAGATGGTGGAGCTTGAATAAAGATATATTGTGTATGTTGTGGAAGATGTTGCTGATACAGCTATTCAGAAAAATACACTGGTTTAGGCATAGATATTATAAATATATTAGAATTACAGTAAGAAACCAGCTACAGAGCAAACTGCTCATTATATTGTCAAACATTATTCTGACGTTCTCAAGGTTATTCTAGATCAGGATGCCGAATTGCTGTTTTGGAGTCGTTTGTCTAAAATAGGTATCAAGGTATTATCTTGCAATGGCCAAATGAAGAGACATGAAATAATTGCTTATTTAATAAGGTAATCATAATACAAGAGAAGTACATCATCCACATGTAAGTACACAAATGTGTTTAGCAGAAAAGTAATGAAGTCAACAAGTTCACTGCAGTAAAACGTTCATGTCAAAATTCCTAAAATCCAGGACTAAGCTGTTCATAGTATCTAGGTCTACATAAGAGTATTCATATTCTGGCTTTAGGACTATCCCATCTCTTTGAAAGAAGGCCATTCATAACAAAGAGCTGTTAAATGATCAAACAACTGATATTGTGGCAATTTGAAATGAAATTAATTTGGGTATATGTAGGTAAACTTCAGGCATCAGAATTCAGAATCAGTAGATATTACTTATTACAGTTTACAGCTTCCCTTGAGGAATTTAGATCATGATTGGAGTTAATTAAAATTGTATCTTATACATACATATACATACATACATACATATGTATATATATATATATATATATATATATATATATATATATATATTATATATGTATATATATATATATATATATATATATATATATATATATATTATATATATAATCTATAATATTAAATTATTATATATATATAGTATATATATTATATATATTATATATATATATATGTATATATATATATATATATATATACATATATATATATATATATGCATATATATATATGTATATATATATATATATGTATATGTATATATATATGCATATATATGTATATGTATATATATATATATATATATATATATATATATATATATATATATGTATATGTATATATATGCATATATATATATATATATATATATGCATATATATGTATATGTATATATATATATATATATATATGTATATGTATATATATTATATATATATATATATATATATATATATATATATATATATATATATATATGTATGTATATATGTATATATATATATATATATATATGTATATATATATATATGTATATATGTATATGTATATGTAATAAATATATAAATACAAATATATATATATATATATAATATATTATATATATATATATATATATGGTGGTACAGAGAGGGGGGGGGGTAGAAAAGGAAGCCTACATGTTATGTGCGGTCAGTAGGATGGAAGTTTTCTGTCCTATACAAATGTTCACTGGTTTGGTACAATACTGGACTGCCACTGGGCGTGGCAGTCCAGGAATTACAGCCCCTGAAATGTGAGGTTATAGCCTTGGTTTTCTCTTGAATGCTGAAAAATCACGTATACCAAAGCTGTACATACAGAGCCAGGTCAATGCGTTTTTTTTTTTTTTTTTTTTCCGACTTTTCACTTGAGCAGCTGCATCATGTAATCACTGATGTGTGGTGCAGTTCAATGGGTAAAATATTCATCACCATTGCGCTAATAAATGAATGGCTTATTATGGAAAATGCAACTATTTCCTTTGATGAGCTACTGAAATTCTATACACTCCTAATTAATATAGGACCCTTGAGAAATTAGTGATAAATGGTGTCTGCACAAGAGAGCACGTAACCATTTGTACGAGCTAATTCATGAATAGCTATGGATGGAATTATGTTCTTTGAAATGAAAGGCGTGGTTTACACGGCTTTTGGCTTACAATCTCAAAACTATACAACTGCTTTCCTTTCCACATCATAAGTGAAAATATCACAATTCAACGAACCAATTTGGAAGCATAATTACACTCCGAGTACTACGATCTGAAGGACTCGACCGAGAAGAATGTACATGCACTGCAAACTCCTAGGCCACATGATAAAATGGTATTATAGAGTTATAAGAATATTCATAATGGAGGTCCTGCAGAGTGCTTCAGAAGAACGAGATATGAATAAAAAACACAATATGATGCAATGTATCACAACATAGCACACAGCACAGCATGCAACTTCCACAGCAATATAATGGTAAAAAAAATAAATTTCTAGCACAACTTACAGGCATACACTACCACATGAGAATAAATCGCACAACACAACGCAGCACAGCAAGATAGCACAGCATAACACGACACGGGCACCAGTCCTCCACACGAGTTTGTTTTTTCAGGTAGCCCTGGGCGGCATTCCACCCCACCCCGGCTAGGAAAGCCATCACACCGCTACTCCTCCTGACCGAGAGAAAAACGCTAAAGAGACCGGGTTTTCTTTTACGTCTCGGGGGAGAAATGAGGAAAAAATTCTCTCCGAGAAGGCGATCATGTGAGCAAACATGGCTGACACGAAACACGGGGATAGGCTCCTCACACTTCACAAACACTTTTCTCGCTTACCCTACGTCTTTACGGCGAGAAACCAACACCGATAGAAACCCCGGGAACCAGAGAGAAAAGCACGAGAGAAGATCAGGCCTCGGATCTCGCGAAAGGGGAAATTTCGCGCTGAACATGATGACGTGAGATGCCCCAAGGCCGAGAAATGCGAGACACAAAACACTCTCTCAACGAAAGGATACACTTGCAGCCGCTGGCCCATGTCCTGGATCAGATTGGCGCCTTGCTGTCGGTACGATAGCTCTTTTTCCGCGTCGATCCCGCATCTTCTGGAGGGCGAGTTGTTGATTTCTTCCTTGGTAAAATACCATCTCTCCTCCGCCGCCATGAGCATCAACACCGGACTGCGTGACGTCACAGGAAGCTCGCGGGTTCCAATACTTTCTTGGTCTAATTTTACGCCGAATAATTGCTTTCTGGCCATTTGGTGCATTTTATTTCATATGGAAAGATATGAAAAACAATGGAATTAATTTTCAAAACAAAGCAATTTGCTTGGGAAGCATTCTTACCGAGGTAATCGACTTCGTACCATGAATTCGTTTTTAGACAGACTTTGGTGCTTTAAGAGCAGCAACTAGCCATTCCCACACGCTATAATATTTAAAAACGAATGTGAAGTTTTTCCCTTTGTCAAACCTAAAATTACCCATCAATGTATTTTTACTTATCCATAGTCGATGCGATAACATGATTTATGAAGGCGTCTTACCAATTATGTATTGTTTTACATTTTTCAGAAGAGTTGAACCCCGCGAAGGGAGGTAGGGAATGGCAGGTTCCTGGAATATGTTGCGACAGGTTACAGGGAAACTCCGTGACGTTTGGTTGTACGAAGTTCGAATGGCGGGCTTTATTACCCTTTTGGCCAATGCCCTTGAGTGATAGTGCTAGAAATGATGAATATGATTCCCGTTAATGTCGCGAGTGTCGATCCGTGCAGTGGAAAGGAACGGGCGAGTGTTCTTTGATGTGGATAGAACATATCGATGAGGAAATACATATTTTCCAGCCATCGGCTTGGAGTTCAAATAGAGAGAGTGAGTATAAAGCTATAATTACACCTTTTTTTAATGATTTTTCTTTACAAAAATAAAATGAATTAAACACAAACAAATAAAATTAATAAATGGTAACATCAAAGAATCTAAATATCACATTTTGTATGTATGCATGCCTTTACATATTTTATTCTCGATCATTCGGTTTGATTTGAATCGTTACGTAATATTCATTCATTCAAAGTAGAAATACGGAATCACGTCAATGAATACCGAATAACGTATAATACAAAATGCCATATCTGTATAATGCTTGGTAATAATTTTGTACATGATAATCGATACAGAAAATGTATATCGAAAATCAATATGCAAATGCCACGTCTATTGCAATAATTAATATGTTTCATATGGTTTTATTTTATTGTGGTGTGGAAATTTAATTTTTGTTTGTTAGTATATCATCACAAAGGCTATGATAGAAAAAAATATATAAGGCAGAATTAGGATACGGGAGAAGAAAAGAAAAAGACGTGAAAAGAAGGGGAGAGAGAAAGAGGCAATACTAATTCAGGCAGCCGCACTATATATACAAAGGAAAGGGTTACGTTAGGTTACGTCAGGTTACGTCAGAAAGAGGAGGAGGAGAAGGGACTGGGAGAGGGAAGGGAATACATAGAAGGAGGGAGATGAGAAGAAAATTGAAGGAATTCAGAGACAAAAATATAAATAAAGGTATGAGAGGGTAACAGGCCTACATAGGAAATTGCAAAGAGCGAGAGGAGGAGGAAGGGGAGTAATAGAGAAAGAAGTGCAAACAGAAGAGAAATAAGGGAATGAGAGAAACAAATTAAAAGAGGGAGAAAGATAGATGAAGGAAGTGGGGCTATAGAAAGATAGGAATAAGAGAGAGAGGGGGAGAGGAGAGAGAGAGAGAGAGAGAGAGGAGAGAGAGAGAGAGAGAGAGAGAGAGAGAGAGAGAGAGAGAGGAAAGAGAGAGAGGAGAGAGAGAGAGACGAGAGAGAGAGAGAGAGAGAAAGAGAGAGAAAGAGGGAGGAGAGGGAGGAGGAGAGGGTGGAGGAAAAGAGAGGGGAAGGAAGGGAAAGAGAGGGGGAGAGGGGTGGGAATTGAGGGAGGGGGGGAGGAAAGAGAGGGAGGGAGGGAAAGAGAGAGGTTAGAAGAAAGGGGTGGAAAAGAGAGAGGGAGGGGGAGGGGGATCGGGTAAAGAGACATTGACTGTGGGAAGGGAGAGAGAAGAAGGGAAGGGGGTATGAAGGAGGGGCGGCAAAGAGACATTGGAGAGGGAGAAGGGAGGGGGAGGGAAATTAATAGAGACATTGAGACAATGAACGGGTTATGGTTGGGGAAGGGATAGAGACATTTGAAGAGAAGGGGAAGGTGGGGGTAAGGGAAAAGAGGACATTTGAGGGAGAGGAGGAGGGGAAAGGGGAGCTAAGGGAGACTTTTGTATGAAGAGAGGGAGGGTGGGAGTGAAAGAGTAATTGAAACGGAGGAGGGGAGGTGGGGACAGGGTAAAGAGAAATTTTGAGAGGGGGTAAGGGAAAACGAGAGAGATGGAGATGACGA